ACCACATAGCCTCCACCCTTCTTCTTTTTTTGAAAGGTCATCTTCTTTTCCTTCTTCTCCTTCTTCTCCGTCTTGTTCTTCTTCTTTTTACCATCATCATTGTCACTATTGTAGGGATAATCCACTACAACGTGATTGGGGCTCTTGCAATTGTAGCATCTTCTCACATATTCTTTGCTCTTGATGTGATCTCTTCTCTTTCTTACACCATAGCCCTTCTTTTTCATGAATTTGCCTATATTGTGCACAAATAGAGCCATGGCCTCATCATCAACGTCACTAAGATCCTCATCATCACTTGATTCTTTCTTGGACTTGCCCTTGTTCTTGGATGATGAGCTAGCCTTGAATGCTACACTCTTCTTCTTCTTGTCTTCTTCTTCCTTCTTGTTATCCTTGTCAACCACTTCCCTTTCCACACGGTATGTCTCTTGTGTCATGACATCACCTAGTACTTGGTTAGGGGTAATCTTCTTCAATCCTCCTCTTATGATAAGCAATCTCAATATCTCAAATCTTGGAGGTAGGCACATCAAGAACCGATGAGAGACATCATCATCCTTGATCTTCTCTCCCAATGCCTTCAAATCATTGACAATCACTTGTAATCGATGGAACATCTCCAGAACGCTCTCATCTTCCTTCATCTTGAAGCTTGTCAATTTATCCTTGAGGATGTCCAACTTGGCACTCTTCACCGCCGGTGTGCCCTCATATGTTTCTTCCAATCTCTTCCACACCTCATTAGCTTTATCACAATCCTTGATTTGCTCAAACACCTTGGAATCAATGGCATTGTATATGGTGTTGAGAGCCATTATATTGCATTGCTTGTTGGTCTTGTCTTAGTTGGTCAGATTGTTGGGATCAATGATAGCATAGTCATTCTCGGTCACATCCCATACTTGATCATTGATTGAACCAAGATATATCTTCATCTTTCTCTTCCAATAATCATAGCATGTGCCATCAAAGAACGGTGGTTTGCCCCCCACATGGTTGAACACAACTTGTGCCATAATTTGACACCGAGGTTGTTAAGCCTTCAATCAAGCGGTGACCACAGCTTCGATACCACTTGAAAGGTCCTAATATGGCTAGAGCAGGGGTGAATAACCTATTTAAAAATCTATAAACCAACTAGAGAAATTTGATTAGTATAACAAATAGCGAAAAGAAAACTTGCTTTAGTTCTACAAGGGTTGCAAGCCACATATCCAACAATTCTAGATACTATGATCACTAGACACTTAATTTACTAAGTCACTACTCACTAAGAGCTCTCACACTTGCTACACTAAAGAGCTTGCTACAACTAGTTTGCGGGAATGTAAATGAGTAAGTAAGGTGATTATACCGCCGCGTTGAGGAGTGAACCAATCACAAGATGAATACTAACTCAATCACCGGGAGAATACCAAAGGGCAAGAGATAACCAATTTTTCTCCCAAGGTTCACGTGCTTACCGGCACGCTAGTTCCCGTTGTGTCGACCAACACTTGGTGGTTCGACGGCTAAGAGGTGTTGCACGAACCTTGTCCACATAATTGGACACCGCAAGAGCCTACCCACAAGTGAGGTAACTCAATAACATGAGCAATCCACTAGAGTTGCCTTTCAGCGCTCCACTGGGGAAGGCACAAGACCCCTCACAATCACCGCGATTGGAGCCAGAGACAATCACCAACCTTCGCTCGACGATCCTCACTGCTCCAAGCCATCTAGGTGGCAGCAACCACCAAGAGAAACAAGTGAATCCCATAGCAAAACACGAATACCAAGTGCCTCTAGATGCAATCACTCAAGCAATGCACTTGGATTCTCTCCCAATCTCACAAAGATGATGAATCAATGATGGAGATGTGTGGGAGGGCTTTGGCTAAGCTCACAAGGTTGCTATGTCAATGCAAATGGCCAAGAGGGTGAGCTAGAGCCGGCCAAACAGTATTTATAGACACCCCCAAACAATAGAGCCGTTGGCTCAATTATTGGGCTGACTATGCATTGACCGGACGTGCAAGTCGTGTGCACCGGACACACCGGTCATGTATACCGAACACGTCCGGTGTGGCGACCGGACGCGTTTAGTCGCTGCCTGACCACCACGTGTCCCATTTGAACGAAGTAGCCATTATTGCTACGAGTACCAAACTCAATCTATGACCGGACGCGTCCATTGTGGATGACCAGACGCAGGATGAGCAACGTCTGATCGAGTCCAGAGAGCTCCTAGAGCCGCTCTAGGCTGACCGGACGCGTCCGGTCACACCAGACCGGATGCAGGAGACTTAGCGTCCGGTTGAGTCCAGAGAGCTCCCTGAGCCGCTCTGGGCCGACCGGACGAGTCCGGTCACACAGGACCGGGCGCTCCCAGAGTCCGATCAATTTTAGCACTGAAACCCGAGAGTTGCTGGTTCACACTGAACGCGTCCGGTGCGGTGACCGAACGTGTCCAGTCGCTCTCTGCAACACAGTACCGAGCTACATCACTTTGACCGGATGCTAAACAGTAACTCCTCAGTGGCCAGTCACTCCACTAAGCCAGAGTCCGGTCATTAATATCAGACGCTTTCGGTCGCCATATCGGACGTGTCCGGTCACTCTGTGACCAGCGCGACTAACTCCTTTTCAACTCTATCTTCTTTACCCTTGCTCAAATGTGTCAACCACCAAGTATATCACCTTGTGCACTTGTGTTAGCTTATTTTCACAATCATTTCCAAGGGTGTTAGCACTCCACTAGATCCTAAATGCATATGCAAATGAGTTAGAGCATCTAGTGGCACTTTGATAACCGCATTTTGATACGAGTTTCACCCCTCTTAATAGTACGGCTATCGATCCTAAATGTGATCACACTCTCTAAGTGTCTCGATCACTAAACTGAAAAGCTCCTATCAATTTTACCTTTGCCTTGAGCTTTTTGTTTTTCTTTCTTCTATTCCAAGTCCAAGCATGTGATCAACATCATGGCATCACCATCATCATGTTATGATCTTCATTTGTTTCACCACTTGGAATATGCCACCTATCTCATAATCACATTGATAAACTAGGTTAGCACTTAGGGTTTCATCAATTCACCAAAACCAAACTAGGGCTTTCAAACGTGAACCCTTTATTCCAGACAAGAAGAAAACCGCGGTTCTTACATCAGTTCATCGTATCATTCCGAGGCTATTAAACGATATAATGGTCGCAATAAGCGACTCCTATAGAATGCTCACAAAGAATAAAAGAAATTCAAAAGATCCAAATACACTCATGCACAAGCTTATGACATAGAACTTATTTTTAGAAAAATTTCGACACTGATTTCATATTTTTCTAAGGTCGTATGCGTTTCCTATGAATTTTCTAAGATTAAATTATTTTTTGAAAAAGAAAAAGAAGGAAAACTCTAGGGTTTGACACGTGGTGGCTTCTGATTTGTTGGGGTGTTTTGGTCTCTAACAGGTGGGTCCCGGTGTCAGTCAACGTTGACTGGTCAACAGTCAATGTTAACCGGGACTAACTGGGCCTCAAGCGGGCAGGATGGGCCGGGTTTGGGTCGGGCCGGCCCAAACACGTGTCACGTGACCAGCTAACCATGTGGCGGGTCTAGGCTATCTGCGGTCTCGGTCCACATGGTTTGGTTCACGCTGGACAAGGGCTGGCGCACCGTAGATCATAGGCTGGTCCACTATGGACCGAGCGCACATTGCCGTCGTGCGCACGGTGCACGGTGCACCGGGTGCACTCGCGTTCGAAAAAGGCAGAGAGCTCCCTGCTCCTCGGCCCTCAAGTGTTTGACGTGTGGCTCCAGAGGGCTTGCCAGCGACGTGGTTGCTTGGCGGGGGCGGGGTCTCTCCTTGCTAGTTGCTTGATCCAAAGTGAGTTTGAGATAGATCTAGTGCATTTGCTTAGTTGTTTCTCATGGCATTAGTTCATCGTTTGGTCTACGGATTTCTTGTTACTCTTGGTGGTTGCCGTCACCTTGACGGTTTGAAGCAACGAGGAATTCAAGCACCATGTTGGTGATTGTTCAGTGGCTTGAATCGATTAATTTGTGAGGGGTCTTGTGCTCACCCCGCGGGAGATCGTGATGGGCAATTCTAGTGGAATGCTTGTGGATAGTTGGAGTGTCCTTTGTTGATTGATTCTTGTGGCACCCAAGTTGTAGATCAAGCTTAAGAAGCTTGTTAGCGCGTGAATCACTTACCTAGAGACTCGCCACATTGAGGATTAAGTTGCTGGCAAGCAACTGAACCTTAGATGAAAAATTTATTGCCATCTCTCTTGTCTGGATTGGTTTGCCACTACACTCGTTCTTTATGTTCATATCTAGCTTGTGTAGTTGTAGCTTGTTTGTGTTGCTCTTCTAGTTTAGCTCACTAGTGTAGTTTGTTTAGTTGCCAACTCTTGTGTGGTTGAGTGCTCTAGTAGTAGAACCAACTTGCTACTAGAATTGTTTAGGAAACTTGCGTTTGGGTGCAATAGAGCTTGACAAAGTAGTTGCTATTAGGATCTCTTATTGTAATAACTACTTTGATCTAGTGTTTGTGCAATTGTAAAAAAATTATAGATTATTCACCCCATTTTGGCCATCTAGCTAAATCCTTTCAGCTTTCCATTTTGTCATTGATAATTCGGTGACCCATTGTCAGAGACTTCAGCCATGGACAACACTTTTACTTATTTATCCTATTTTTTACAAATTAAATAAACATACATCTATTACCTCCTAAGAAGTAACAGATGATTCTAATCATCTGATCTAATTAAATGGATGGCTCCAAGTGATTTGGTAGTACCACAACAAAGCCTGTGACTACGTATCAATTCAAAGAAGAAGCAAACATGTATATCACATACTCACATCTATAATAAGATATTAAATGTCATGAGAACAGTTTAAGCAAGCCTAGGAATGCCTCTGTATTTATAAATCAGGCACACATTTAAGTTGTTAATTTCCTCATCCGCAACTCCATTGCTGCAACCTGGATATGCATGATCGATCAGTTTGGTATGAGCTTGGAGTGTGGCTTGTCCATGGATGGGGAAGGGTCATAGCTGCTGTAATCATTCGTCTTGACGCTGAGCATCCGAGCTTGCACCAATGGCACAAGTGCTTCCTGCTGTTCAGTTCGTGCTGCCTACATATTGATTTTCACATAAAAGTGAGCAGAACGGGTAGATAATTTCTGAAAAAGCTAGATTTATATGAAGCCCATATATAGAGAGGTGAACTCGATCAGGGAGATGAATGGAGCGTTTTGGAAAGCCTGTCAGTTTAGTTTTCCTGATATATACCTCTCCTTGTTGACGAAGGGCATCTTGATCCATCAAGAAACTGTAGTGTCTCCCTGAAAGAAGAAACCATCATACCAGTGAAAACCATGAAGAGTCAAACCTATTTCCTCCAAAAAAAAAGATAATCACACATTCACACCTCCGATCCTACACATAACTGGAACATATTATTTAGTTCCTTCACCAGATATGCATGCTTTCCAAGATCTACTTATCTTATATCTTGTTGAAACTTAATATAAACTAGGCCGGACCAGCTGGAAGGAGCTTGTTTTAGAGCGAGGTAAAACAGGACATTGTGTACTCAACAACCATATGTTTACGGATTCAAGGCTTGAATCATGGAAAACAAAACTCAAGGACCTCTAGGAAGAAAGAACTACTCGCACAAACCAGCAAATGAAGTCGAGAACAACAAGGCGAAGGTGATGAAAGCAAAGAGGTGGCCAGATCTCCATGGGCATGGCAGCGTCCCCATTTCTGAAATCATGCACTGGATATACTCTGGTAACACGCTCAAAACATGAACCTGAAGCGAGGTGAAGCAGGCCTTAGTTTTTGCCCCACCTTTCTTTGCCGCGGCAGCCTAATATATAACTAGTCAGCTGAGCAATCTCTAGTCTGCAACAGATGCTAATCATATCCCACTTCCTCTGAACAAGTTCCAAGGGAAAGGGGATTTGAGAATTTTCTGTGGGCAGAGTGTCAGGCTGTCACCTGCTTTCTGCTGCAAGGAATTTTAAGGATGCAGTAATCATGGTGCCTTGGTCTATGCTTGCTTATTTCTCTTTAAATATTTGTATAATACACCCTCCATTCCCAATTATATGACGTTTTGTTTTTTCTAGATACGTGTATATACATTAGATATATGGTAAAAGAAATGTATCTAGAAAAGTCAAACTGTCATATAATTTGGAACTGAGGGTGTACTTGACAATTGCAATTGGACAAATGTCTTTTTTTCTTTTATACTGCTTCTCCAATACATCAGCACATGCTTTTTTGGAAAGGATTAAGTCCACTTTTAGCCCCTCAACTATTGAGTTCGTCTAATTTTGACCCTCAACTACAAAACCGTCTAATGCTGTTACCCCAACTGTCAAAATCGTTCACTTTTAGCACCTGGGCGCAGGTAGGGCTGTTTTGTCCAACGTGAAGCGGGTTTGACCACGCCACGCTGGCGTTGACCACCACATAGGACGTTGGCCTCCATCTCAGTGACATGTGGGGCCCACATGTCAACCACTCATCCCCTCCCTCTCCTTCGTCTAGCTCCAACAGCATCCGGATAGGCGAGCTCGGCCCCACTGTGGGCGGGGGAGGTCCGCCCCATCGGCGGACGAGGTGGACGGAGCGTGCGCAGCGGCTTCGGAGGGGGTCGCGCGGCCCTACGGTGCCGGTGGTAGCAGCCTCGGCGGCCTAGCATGGCCCGACCACGCGCATGTCTGTGGCAGCGGCGACGCTGTTGCGTTCCGACGAGGCAGGGGCTACATCGAGCTAAGCGAGGGGGCGAAGACAGACTACGGCTCACCGGTGTTCTGTAAAAGGTTCTAGTTGGCTCGGAGGCGAGCGGAGTAGTGCTAGCCACGGGGCGGTGGCAAGGCAGCCGACGAACTGGGGCGGCATCGGTGTTCTCGGCGAACCAGCGGAGCTCTACGAAACTTGTACACAGAGGACGCCCGGGAGGTTATGGTGACATAGAAACGAAGCGAAGGTAACAAAGAGAGTGGGCGAGATGGGGTTGGTTGCGGTGGAGCTTGAGCTCGGTGACAATGGCAGCCACCGCCGACGAGAATGGTTCGAGTAAGCTTAATAGAGGATGATCCCTGATGGGATCACGCCCAACAGCGAGCTCAAGACCCAAGGCTCCTAAGGTGGTGAGGAATTGGAGAGAGAGATTGGAAACATCGCGAATTTGAGAGGGGAAGAGAGACGTCCGTGCCTTCCCGCCGCCGCATTTGCACTCAAAGCCAGCGCTCGCGGCAGGTGGCCGGTGGCCCTACTGCCTGCGCCCGCGCTCGCACCGCGGAGAGGTCGTCGGGTGCGGTAGAGAGAGGGGAACATGGAGGAGAGCGCGACTGGGGCGGAGAGGGCTCGGCTTGGAACGCGGCGGTGTCCCGCCCACGCGCGCAGACGGTCGAGGCCGCGGTGACGCCATGGCCGCTGTGCCGCACAGCGACCCGGCGACGAGCGCGCCGCAAGCTTTAGGGCTTGGCGGAATTGGTGGGCTCGGCTGCGGCGCAGGGAGGCGGTGTCCGCGGCGAGCTCGACTGCGGCGCATGGGAGCGATAGCTGTCGTAGCCTGCTCGCGCGCTGCCGTGCTGCTTGGGCGCCGCCGCCGCAACTTGCTCGAGCGCCACCGCCCTGCTCGTGCGCCGGGGCCGTAGCCTACACGCGCACCGCCATGGTAGCCTGCTCGCCGCTGGTGACAGGGAGGAAAGAGGGGCCAGCGTGGCACTGTCAGCGCCAGGGTGGCGTGGTCAAACCCGCTTCACGTTGGACAAAACAACCCTGCCCTCGTCCAGGTGCTAAAAGTGAACAGTTTTGGCGTTTAGGATACCAAAAGTGGACTTAATCCTTTTAGGTATGGTTATTGTAGTTTGATGTTGTGCTTTCTGCCAGTTGTTGCTTTTCTTTTTTATCCCAAATTTCTGCCAGTCGTTGCTGGCATGCTCAATTCAACTCTGATTCTATTTGACGGTATGTGTTCTTTCTTTCGGTAATTTTATTTTTTATTTTTAATTTAAGAGATTCTACATGCTGAAGGAATATGATTAGGTTGATGAATACCAGGGTCTTCAGTATCTGCATGAAGTAATTTGATTCCTTCACTTTTTTTGTGTGTAAGTGTAACTAATTTATCGTCACCGGTAAACCTGGAATATTACACTATTGTTAAAAGAAGCGAGTTGGCTGAAATGAGAAACAGCTGCACAGTGCGTCACATTGTTCATTATACACATTGGGATAGACATGAAACAGGTCACGCTTGCACTCGTTTGTCACCACCGTATAGTTAGTGTTCACACGTTCCATCATGATGTCATGGGAACACCTCAAAGGTACTGGAGCAGTGGCATGGAGATAGATCGAAGGGAAAAGGCCTGCCAGCCTAAAAGAATTGCCACTGACGATTTAGCAGCCGTCCGCTTCTCATTGCTTTTGTAGATATGCACGATTTTTGCGGATTGGAGGCACTAGTTGCGGAATCAGGCAGAGGGAGTAGTGCAGGAGAAAGACACAATGCAAAGTGGCCTTGATGATACCCTGATAGAATGTGACCATCACCATGAACAACGATGCAAAGCATATTGTCACAAAGAGGGCAGTAGTGGAGGATAAAGCAGGAGCTCCACTACGGGGTGAGTGCTCTGAACAGTGACAATGTGATAACATGATCCGCACTATCAGAAATATGGAACTTAGGAAAGGTCTAGTAATATTTGGTGGTTGAATGAAAACATAACTATTATAGTTAATAATGTTTGCTAGTATACAAGATACACTAGCTAGTCCTAAGGATGGAAAAAAGATGGACTTAGCTAGGATATGGTGAAGTTCAAGCAATCAATACTTCAAAAGAAGATTAAAGACAAGTATGAAGACCCTAGAAGACAAGCAAGAAGCTAAGACATCAAGCAAGCGAAGAATGGACAACAGGACACAAAGAAACAACACTCAGATAACATCGGAGCTTTTCAATGTGTACTATAGTGCTAGAGCAGTAGACCAGAGTCTTTCTAGTGTGATGAGTCTGAGGCAGAGTAAGCAATAGTGCATGGCAATGGGGCTTGACAACTAGTTTGCGGTAATATAAAGAGAGAGGGAGCAAGATAGTTATACCGCCGAGTCGAGGAATGAACCAATCAATCACAAGAATGAATACCAATAAAGACCAATCACCTCGGAATCAAATGATGACACAATGATTTTTTACCGAGATTCACTTGCTTGCCGGCAAGCTAGTCCTCGTTGTGACGATTCACTCACTCGGAGGTTCACGCGCTAATTGGCATCACATGCCAAACCCTCAATAGGGTGCCACACAACCAACACAAGATGAGGATCACACAAGCCACGAGTAATTTACTAGAGTACATTTTGGCTCTCCACCGGGGAAAGGTCAAGAACCCCTCACAATCACCACGATCGGAGCCGGAGACAATCACCAACCTCCGCTCGACGATCCTCGTTGCTCCAAGCCGTCTAGGTGGCGGCAACCACTAATAGTAACAAGAGAATCCCGCAGCGAAACACGAATACCAAGTGCCTCTAGATGCAAACACTCAAGCAATGCACTTGGATTCTCTTCCAATCTCACAAAGATGACGAATCAATGATGGAGATGAGTGGAAGGGCTTTGGCTAAGCTCACAAGATTGCTATGTCAATGCAAATGGACAAGAGAGTGAGCTAAAGCCGACAATGGGGCTTAAATAGAGAGACCCCACAAATAGAGTCGTTGGCTCTCTGTTCACTGAAAAATCGGGGCGACCGGACGCGCTGGTCGGATTGACCGGACGTAGGACCCCAGTGTCTGGTCCTCAGATTTTCGCCACGTGTCCCCTGCTTCAAATGCTGATCACCCGATCTCAACGGTCATCAGTGCACTTAAGTTGTGACCGGACGCACCTCTGCTCCAAGACCGGAAGCGCCGCTACCTAAGTCTGGTCGTTTCCATAGAGCTCCCCGAGCCTGTGTTTTGTGACCGGATGCGTCCTCTCCTGCACGACCAGACGCAGACCAGCCAGAGTCCGGTCGTTTCCAGAGAGGTTCCAGAACCGGTTTTTCATGACCGGACACGTCCGGTCACGCCTGACCGGACTCGCCCAGTGTCCGGTCACTCAACCTTTTCTCTGTGCGCCGCCACGTCAGCAGGACCGGACGCTGAACAGTGTTCAGCCAGAGTCCGATCACCTGTGTCCGATCAACAATGCCTCTAGAGTCCGGTCATCAAAACCGAGACCGCACCACTGATCCACTATTGACCGGACGCTGCTCCCCCGAGTCCGGTCACCACGTGACCAACGTTCGGTCACTGTTTTTCAGTGACTATCACCTCCTTCAATTCACCAACTTCTCCACCCTTGCTCAAATGTGCCAACCACCAAGTGTATCACCTTATGCACATATGTTAGCATATTTTCACAAATATTTTCAAGGGTGTTAGAACTCCACTAGATCCTAAATGCATATGCAATGAGTTAGAGCATCTAGTGGCACTTTGATAACCGCATTTCGATACGAGTTTCACCCCTCTTAATAGTACAGCTATCAATCCTAAATGTGATCACACTCTCTAAGTGTCTCGGTCACTAAACCGAAAAGCTCCTATCAATTTTACCTTTGCCTTGAGCTTTTTGTTTTTCTTTCTTCTTTTCCAAGTCCAAGTATTTGATCATCACCATGCCATCATCATCATGTCATGATCTTCATTTGCTTCATCACTTAGAGTAATGCTACCTATCTCGTAATCACTTTGATAAACTAGGTTAGCACTAAGGGTTTCATCAATTCACCAAAACCAAACTAGAGCTTTCACTGGGGAAGGGTATAGCGGCGCGTGGCCATCTACGATGGCGGCACCACTGTTCTGGTGGGCTGGGGTAGCTAGAGGCCTACTTGGTTAGCTCCTGAGCATCAGGAGGCTACCATGGACCAGCCCAAGGTGACGGTTGGGGTGGAGGATGACGGAGGAATGCTGGCCACGTGCAGCCGAGCCGTGCGGTGGCGCACCGCGGCGACACGGTCGCGTCAGTGACGAAGGGGAGGCGGTAGCGGTTTGACTAAGGCACGTAGGGTGGAGAGGGAGGTAAGGTGATGCTAGTGGTGCAGGCGAATTGGCTCGGGAGGGACGGTGGGAGGGCTGCCCACATCCACGGCCGAACGCGGCCTTATCGGCACGGCGGCGGAAGAAACTCCAAATTGGAGCTTGGCCGTGCTCGCTTCAAAGCTAGGTGGGGTTGGGCAGCGAGAGGACGTGATGGTGAAGATGTGGATGCGCTAAATTGAATGGAGGTGATCATTCGCTGGGTAAATTGAATGGCGCGGCTCATGGCGACAGTAGAGGGAGAAAGATAGAAAGAGAGAGATGGGGCATGGTAGGTGGCTCGGCTCATCCTCACCTTGGTGGGATGCGGTCGGCGAGATCATGGAGGCCCACGCGCAGGCGCTAGCAGACAGGCACGCGCGCTTTCGACCGGCGTGGCCCGCGCGGCCGCAGTGTCTTAAATGACAAGGCGATGACGAGCTCGACCATGTGCGTGCGGTAGTGGCGGCCTCGAACTGGGCCGGCAGCGGCGCAGAGGGTACAGCGGACAGGCACGGACGCGATGACGATGCGACAGCAGCGGCAGCGTCGTGGTGCGAAGCTGGTCGGTAGTGCAGCGAGGCAGCAGTGTGCGGACGCGACGGCAAGGTGATAACGCTGTCAGTGACTTCGTCGTGGCATGGGGCGGGCGGCAGCAGCTCTATGCGGCAGGCTAGCGGTAGCCGGGCCACAGCCAGGCTAGAGGCAGCCACGGCCGACCATGTGCGGCAGCGCGCGCATGCGCGACCAACACGGCGACACCGAGCGCCCAAGCGTGGTGACCGCGCCCACGCGGCCAACCAGCTCGAGATCGAGTCGTGCACGAATTTTAAAGCGCCCAAAACAACTAAACGGTTGCTTCAGGAGCCAAACCATCTTCACCATGCTCAAGAGGGCATATGAGACTACCAAATCAAGCTATAACACTACACCACCCCTTAACCCAATCTCTCAAAATAATTTGCTAAACATAGTAATTTCTAGCTGTCGACAGACTTGAAAATTTTCTAAGTTTTTTAGCTGAACTTGATTTCAATTTGGTCTAGGTTAGTAGAAGTACTAGCTAGCAATATCATTTTTCAACAGCAAGTATTTCACTGTCATCTACAATGTTTGTACTTCAAACTTTATTTAAGTATCACACATATGTTCTATAGTATTTTCGCTAAATAAAAATTGGTTTTCAACCCTACTTGATATACATGAGCTATTGAATCAACTTTCATTTAACATTTTTATTGATCATTTTAAGTTGCAAGAAATTTATCTGCACATTCTATCACATACATTAACTCATAAATATGATGCTCATGACATGTTTTAGTAAATGATTTAGGGTGTAACATCGAGGGTGTTCCAAACGTCCCCTCAAGCGCTCCCGTGGGTGGAAGGGTTGGGCGAAAGGGAGGGAGAGGGTGCGGCGGAGGGAGGGGGTGGGAGAAGGGAGGGTAGGGGAGGGGGAGGGGGCCGTCGGCGCCGGGGTGGCGGGCGGTGGCGGTGACAGCGGGGAGGAGGCGGGGGCCGCCATGGATGCAAGCCCCTCGGCCCATCAAACTGAATTCAAGCATAACAATGGTTTGCAGCCGACATCAAACTGTTGGAACATCAAAGAGCTTTCATAACATCCTTGAAGAAATGCCAAGAGGCACCACCAATTGTAGCATGAGACACCAAAAATCACTATTTTGCAAATGTTTTTGGCTTTCTCCGTTTCAGGTGACTAATGGTTTGCTTAACCTTCCGTCACCGTCCCAATCTCACGAATCCTCACGCACGACCGTAATCTTCTTAATCGTGCCCCTCCCCCGTCTCTTCTTCTTCGCGCACGGTCGTCGTCTTCTCCCTCTCCGACGCCCCTCCTCCGCCTCGTCCTCGCCCCCGCCGCCGCCCACCACGGCGCGCTAGGGTTTTGCCGAAGCTCGGTGGCCACGGCGGCGGCCATGGAGCTCTGGCGAAACCTTAGCGTGCCCACGGCGACCGCCTTCCTTCCCTCGCCCTGCTTCTTTAAGGGCGTGCTCCGGCGATGGAGCCCCCCCCCCGCCCAATCTGTCCCATCCGCTAGGGCCCCTAAACCGCCCTGCCGCCGTCCCCACCGCCTGATCGACCTTTCTCCTCCTGAACCCCCTTCTATGCCCGTCGGAGATGGAGAAGAAGAGAGGGAGAGTCAGAAAGAGGGGGCGCTGAACTTACTCAATGCCGACGATGTCCTCACCAGAACCCTTGCCGCGGGCGCGGTCGGACGTGTGGCCGCCGTCAACTGACAGATAAGCAGGATAGCAGGCGATTGCGTTTGAGTAATTGTGAATGTTTTTTTTACATTTGATACTAGATTCAAGCTATAATTTTGGTACCTCTCCGAGGACCATAGAAAACCTTAACATCTAAACAGAAAATCGACTAGTCTCTTGGATCTCATTAGCAAGGACACAGAGCACAATGCTACTGCTTAAACATCTCCACAGGAATTAGTATAGATATGTCTACCTGGCAGCTGAAGAACAGTCTACCTGAAGACACAAGTCCAGAAAACATTAACAGCCATTGCCGAAATACCAAGCATCACAGAACTAGGTTGCCAAGCATGATAACGAACTCCTCCATAATAGAGGGGCAGCTGCTGGTCAGATGCTTGAAGCCATCACTTGCCGCGGCCGCCCTCAGATTCGCGGCGGAGCTAAGAAACTCAAAGCACGCCTTCTTCAGGCCGTGGCAATGGTGCTGCTCGGCTAGCGTCAGTATGGCTGCCACCGTGCCGACATCAATGTACTTGCACAGCTTGTCCTCACACATCAACTTCAGCCTCTCCATGCCGTACCTGTCCGCCGCGACCAGCAGATGCTGCGCCATGACGTCTTCTTCCTCCTCTTCCCCTTCCTCTTCCTTTGATGTCTCCGGGAACATGTCGGTGTACACGAAGTGGAGAAGGCCGCTGAACGCCCGCACCTCCATGTCGTCGACGCGGACGACGCCGGCGGCGGCGTCGCTCTCCTTCATCGCACCGAAGAGCTCCGCTCTGAACACCGGCGACCGCGCCGCGAGCACGCACCGGTGCGCGGAGAAGGTGCGGCCGCCGACGTCGAACGCCACGTCGGCGCCCTTCTCGTCCCGGAGGAGGTCGCCGAGGTGCTGGTGCAGGTCGGATGCCGGCACGGCGACGGATCCAGACGCAGTGGCCTCCACGCGGACGTCGCCGATGACAACGATGTCGCACCGCACGGCGAAGGAGCCGTCCTTGAGATGCTCCGACTTCTCGAATTCTTGCCTCTTCGTGAAGTACGCGTTGCCCGAAGTAGTCTGGTTCTCAAATCTGGTCACGGGTTCCGATGTCAGGGGTTTCTTCTCCTCTTGGTCGACGAAACGGATTTGGTACTGCGCCTTCACGGCCTTGGCGACGCTTTCGCCAAGCTCGAGGAAGAAGGATATGTGATCTGAGGACTTCGAGCCGTAGCCGTTGGGGTAGTAGCGGATGGTCCAGCAGTGGCCGCCGATGGTGAAAGGGTGGGACTTGATGTACTCTCCGTTCGGGGTTTCCTTGGTGCCGGCGTAGCCATGGATCCTGAGGATGTGGTACCCGCTTGTTGTGGCGGCGAAGATGGCGGAGGAAGACCCCGACCGCTTGCCGCCGGTGCCTGCTGCATATGTGGCCATCGCAAAAAGAAATCAATCAGGGTTTTGAAGCGGCTTGGTGCGTCTCTCTCTCTCTCGCTTGGTGCGGGTTCCTTGTAGTAGAAGGGCTTTGAAGCGACGCCGCGGAACGGGGAAGACGAGGAGGGACGGGGGAGAGTCAGCACGTCGCTCTGCCTTCCTTGTAGGCTGGGCCTTCGCAGCTACGGGCCTACTGGGCCGATGCAAAAAGCAGTTGTAGTAAAATCTGGAATCCGTTTCTAAAAAAAAAAGTAAAATCTGGAATCCTATATTCCTCTGGCCCTATCCTCTAGGTACAGCATTTGCATTAATAAAGAACTTTACTCTCTGTATGTAGACATCGATATTATTTCATTTCAATTTGTTCCCAAAACTTTCTAAGAAAAATTCCAAATTGGATACAAAATTGACGGGTTAATGTGAGCTTATCCATGCAGTTAGGAACTCTTCAAATAGGAATCCATTTTCTAATTGGCTTATGCGCTTTGGTGAGTCGTCCGAGATCCTTTCGATGACCTATGTTGTCTTGAAGGGATATCTGTAGTCTAATTCAACTTCTTTTTCACTGTATCTACTTAATTTCAATCAAGTCAAAAACAAAAAAAAAATCAAAGACAATTCTTCATTGAAATAATACAAGGAGGGGGAGAAAAATAATACGAGAATAGACTATAGTAAAAGAAAAAAGGAAAACAAAAAAAACCTATGAATCTTTCATCCTTAAAAATGGTGCGGGATGCTTCAATCAATATCCTTCAAACAAAAGAACATAAATTTTGTTGGGCCATGTTCGCTGAGCTTTTGTGCCGACGACGAGTCTCCCTATGCAAATTTGTGTGAATTTCAGCTTTATCAAGTGTACTTTTGCAACTGAACTTTTGCTACAATAGATTGTTCAGGCCTGTTAAATCGATCCGTCTGTGGACTCGTTGCATCTTTGGACTCCTTCGATCTTCTGATGGTCTTGCACATCACTTTATGTCCTCGTTTGTTCCTTTTTCAATTCTGGTCTACAAGTTTAGGCGTCGTTTACAGTTATCTGTTTGTCTGTGTAATAGGTGTACGAGAGTAGATGTGAGGAGTGTTATTTTTGCCGGTACTTCTCCACGTTCACTACGTCCGTCTGTTTCCAAAACAATGCTTTTTCCCCTTTCTTTTTCCCTCGGGTGATCGACTTGGTGATCTTGGTTTCATAATGCTGTACCACACTTGCTTTTTTAGATCAAAGGCATTTCACCCGGCTTTATTGAAAGCTTAACGAAAGCCATCGATCCGTTGCTGGGAGAACCAGCTTACATTGACGCACAGCAAGTTTTAACATCTAAAAGACAACTTGTACCACACTTGCTTTGCTTTGTTCAGTTTCGAATTTTGTATGATGCAGAAACCTGACAACTTGTTTCAGGGACAGGAAGTAATCGGGTTATTTTAGGGGCATGGTTCGACGCTGCAGATGAAGTATTATATGGCAAGGATAAAGAGAGGATGGATGAGATGAGAAAGTTGAAGCAATGTTGCAAACTGATGCAGCTCAGCCTCCAAGATGTGAAGCTGCTGGATGAATCTGGCACTTGTGGCCGACATGATGCTAATATAAAGCAGATTGCTTGGGAGGAGTTTGGTGCATTGTCTTTCACTTTTGGTACATGCAGCACCGTGCTGAAACATTAATTCCTGTTGCTTTGTATAGTTGGTGAGCCGCTGGACGCTGGACTGGTGTTCAAGTGAGAAGGTATTCAACAAAATCATTAATTCCTGTTGTATATGTCAAAATAAGAAGGAGAAGCCTTGTAAATAAATTTGCCTTTCAGTTAAATCAGGCACACATTTAAGCTGTTAATTTCCTCATCGGCAACTCCATTGCTGCAACCTGGATATACATGATCGATCAGTTTGGTATGAGCTTGAAGTGTGGCTTGTCCATGGATGGGGAAGGGTCAGTTCTTCCTGCCGTTCAGTTCGTGCTGCCTACATATTGATGTTCACATAAAAGTGAGCAGAACGGGTAGATAATTTCTGAAAAAGCTAGATTTATATGAAGCCCATATATAGAGAGGTGAACTCGATCAGGGAGATGAATGGAGCGTTTTGGAAAGCCTGTCAGTTTAGTTTTCCTGATATATACCTCTCCTTGTTGACGAAGGGCATCTTGATCCATCAAGAAACTGTAGTGTCTCCCTGAAAGAAGAGACCATCATACCAGTGAAAACCATGAAGAGTCAAACCTATTTCCTCCAAAAAAAAAGATAATCACACATTCACACCTCCGATCCTACACATAACTGGAACATATTATTTAGTTCCTTCACCAGATATGCATGCTTTCCAAGATCTACCTATCTTATATCTTGTTGAAACTTAATATAAACTAGGCCGGACCAGCTGGAAGGAGCTTGTTTTAGAGCGAGGTAAAACAGGACATTGAGTACTCAACAACCATATGTTTACGGATTCAAGGCTTGAATCATGGAAAACAAAACTCAAGGACCTCTAGGAAGAAAGAACTACTCTCGCACAAACCAGCAAATGAAGTCGAGAACAACAAGGAGAAGGTGATGAAAGCAAAGAGGTGGCCAGATCTCCATGGGCATGGCAGCGTCCCCATTTCTGAAATCATGCACTGGATATACTCTGGTAACACGCTCAAAACATGAACCTGAAGCGAGGTGAAGCAGGCCTTAGTTTTTGCCCCACCTTTCTTTGGCCGCGGCTGCCTAATATATAACCAGTCAGCTGAGCAATCTCTAGTCTGCAACAGATGCTAATCCCACTTCCTCTGAACAAGTTCCAAGGGAAAGGGGATTTGAGAATTTTCTGTGGGCAGAGTGTCAGGCTGTCACCTGCTTTCTGCTGCAAGGAATTTTAAGGATGCAGTAATCATGGTGCCTTGTTCTATGCTTGCTTACTTCTCTTTAAATATTTGTATAGTACACCCTCCATTCTCAATTATAGGACGTTTTGGTTTTTAGATACATGTATATACATTAGATATATGGTAAAAGAAATGTATCTACAAAAGTCAAACTGTCAATTGCAATTGGACAAATGTCTTTTTTTCTTTTATACTGCTTCTCCAATACATCAGCACATGCTTTTTTGGGAAGGATTAAGTCCACTTTTAGCCCCTCAACTACGGGTTCGTCTAATTTTGACCCTCAACTACAAAACCGTCTAATGCTGGTACCCCAACTGTCAAAACCGTTCACTTTTAACAACTGGGCGTAGGTAGGGCTGTTTTGTCCAACGTGAAGTGGGTTTGACCACGCCACGCTGGCGTGGACCACCACATAGGACGTCGGCCTCCATCTCAGTGACATGTGGGGCCCACATGTCAACCACTCATCCACTCCCTCTCCTTCGTCTAGCTCCAGCAGCATCCGAACAGGCGAGCTCGGCCCCACTATGGGCGGGGGAGGTCCGCGCCATCGGCGGACGAGGTGGACGGAGCGTACGCGGCGGCTTCGGAGGGGGTCGCGCGGCCCTACGGTGCCGGTGGTAGCAGCCTCGGCTAGCTGGCGTGGCCCGGCCATGCGCAGGTCTATGGCAGCGGCGACGCTGTTGCGTTCTGACGAGGCGGCGGCTACATCGGCTAAGCGAGGGGGCGAAGACGGACTACGGCTCACCGGTGTTCTGTAGAAGGTTCTAGTTGGCTCGGAGGCGAGCAGAGTAGTGCTAGCCACGGGGCGGTGGCAAGGCAGCCGACGAACTGGGGCGGCATCGGCGTTCTCGGCGAACCAGCGGAGCTCTACAAAACCTGTACACAGAGGACGCCCGGGAGGTTATGGTGACACAGAAACGAAGCGAAGGTAACAAAGAGAGTGGGCGAGATGGGGTTGGTTGCGGCGGAGCTTGAGCTCGGTGACAATGGCGGCCACCGCCGGCTCGAATGGTTCGAGTAAGCTTAATAGATGATGATCCCTGATGGGATCACGCCCAACAGCGAGCTCAAGACCCAAGGCTCCTAAGGTGGTGAGGAATTGGAGAGAGAGATTGGAAACATCGCGAATTTGAGAGGGGAAGAGAGACGTCCGTGCCTTCCCGCCGCTGCATTTGCACGCAAAGCCAGCGCTCGTGGCAGGTGGCCGGTGGCCCTACTGCCTGTGCCCGCGCTCACGCCGCGGAGAGGCGCGTCAGGTGCGGTAGGGAGAGGGGAACATGGAGGAGAGCGCGACTGGGGCGGAGAGGGCTCGGCTTGGAACACGGCGGTGTCCCGGCCATGCGCGCAAACGGTCGAGGCCGCGGCGACGCCATGGCCGCTGTGCCGCACAGCGAGCCGGCGACGGGCGCGCCGCGAGCTTTAGGGCTTGGCGGAACTGGCGAGCTCGGCTGCGGCGCAGGGAGGCGGTGTCCGCAGCAAGCTCGACTGCGGCGCAGGGGAGCGATAGCTGTCGTAGCCTACTCGCGCGCTGCCATGCTGCTTGGGTGCCGCCGCCGCAACTTGCTCGAGCGCCACAGCCCTGCTCGTGCGCTGGCGCTGCAGCCTGCACACGCACCGCCATCATAGCCTGCTCGCCGCTGGTGACAGGGAGGAAAGAGGGGGGGGCCAGCGTGGCATTGTCAGCGCCAGCGTGGCGTGGTCAAACCCGCTCCACGTTGGACAAAACAGTCCGGCCCTCGCCCAGGTGCTAAAAGTGAACAATTTTGGCATTTAGGGTACCAACATTAGACGGTTTTGTAGTTGTGGATTAAAATTAGACGAATCTAATAGTTGAAGAACCAAAAGTGGACTTAATCTTTTTGGGTATGGTTATTATAGTTTGATGTTGTGGTTTCTACCAGTTGTTGCTTTTCTTTTTTATCCCAAATTTCTGCCAGTCGTTGCTGGCATGCGCAATTCAAAGCTGATTCTATTTGACGGTATGTGTTCTTTCTTTCGGTAATTTTATTTTTTATTTTTAATTTAAGAGATTCTACGTGCTGAAGGAATATGATTAGGTTGATGAATACCAGGGTCTTCAGTATCTGCATGAAGTAATTTATTCCTTCACTTTTTTTTTGTGTAAGTGTAACTAATTTATCGTCACCGGTAAACCTGGAATAATACTCTTGTTAAAAGAAGCGAGTTGGCTGAAATGAGAAACAGCTGCACAGTGCGTCACATTGTTCATTATACACATTGGGATAGACATGAAACAGGTCACGCTTGCACTCGTTTGTCACCACCGTATAGTTAGTGTTCACACGTTCCATCATGATGTCATGGGAACACCTCAAAGGTACTGGAGCAGTGGCATGGAGATAGATCGAAGGGAAAAGGCCTGCCAGCCTAAAAGAATTGCCACTGACGATTTAGCACCCGTCCGCTTCTCATTGCTTTTGTAGATATGCACGATTTTTGCGGATTGGAGGCACTAGTTGCGGAATCAGGCAGAGGGAATAGTGCAGGAGAAAGACACAATGCAAAGTGGCCTTGATGATACCCTGATAGAATGTGACCATCACCATGAACAACGATGCAAAGCATATTGTCACAAAGAGTGCAGTAGTGGAGGATAAAGCAGGAGCTCCACTACGGGGTGAGTGCTCTGAACAGTGACAATGTGATAACATGATCCGCACTATCAGAAATATGGAACTTAGGAAAGGTCTAGTAATTTTTGGTGGTTGAATGAAAACATAACTATTATAGTTAATAATGTTTGCTAGTATACAACACTAGCTAGTCCTAAGGATGGAAAAAAGATTAGCTAGAATATGGTGAAGTTCAAGCAATCAATACTTCAAAAGAAGATTAAAGACAAGTATTGAAGACCCTAGAAGACAAGCAAGAAGCTCAAGACATCAAGCAAGTGAAGAATGGACAACAGGACGCAAAGAAACAACACTCGGATAACATCGGAGCTTTTTCAATGTGTACTATAGTGCTAGAGAGTAGACCAGAGCCTTTCTAGTGTGATGAGTCTGAGGCAGAGTAAGCAATAGTGCACGGCATACTTCCCATATGGGCACGAAAGTTTAGCACCGGAAATTCAGTACCGAGACATTGCACATGCGCGGTGGAGAAAATAAGAGCGTCGACGTTCTCCGGTAAGGCACGAAGAATGCTCTAAAGATTGAAGGTGGAGTCCAGAGAGATTCTAATCCTCTGGACAACACACTAGATTTATCAGGTGGGGCACTGAGAAACCACCGGATGAATAGACTTCCAATGGTCGGCAATGACTAATCAACGTTGTAGAGGCACCAAATTTCTCTAGTGTGATCACCACAACTATTCAGTGCTCACTACAAACGCAGCCCAAGGGTCCAACGGCTAGTGGAGTTGGTTGGGGCTATATATACGTGGCCATTTGGAGTGTGTCGGAGTTTTAGGAAACTATAGTTGAGTTGAGACTCATACATTTGTGCTCTATCCACCATATGCGCTTAAAAGAATATTAGGTGATTAGATGAAGTGCTTGGATTAGTGTTTAGGCTAGTTAGAGGTTGCATTAATTAGCACTTTCTCTAGGTTTATGACTAGTGTTTAGTCAGGTTTTCGTACCTCCTTTCTATTGGTGCTTGCATGCACCAAGTATTGTACTCCTTGGGGCTTACAAGTCTTGTGAGACCTTCCAACCGCTCTTGTAGAATGGCCATCGTTGGTGTAATATATAGGGACGTGAGGCCCTAGAAATTTTTAGACGAAGCTCACCTAGTGGAGACCCATTTGTGTGTGGAGAAGGCATGTGGGCTATTGATGGAGTTACCTGACCACGTAACTTGGCTCTTGCGAGGGCATCCTTGTGTGAGGGGATCTAACGAGGTCTACTAGAAAGCATGAGCTTTTCAATACCTAGGGAAAAATAGTCATGCAGGAGTTTGCATTCTCTAACACAATTATGTTTCCACATTTACCTATTATTTCCTCGTGTGTGCTTCACCTTCCTAGTCTAGTTTGCTAGATAGTTGATAAGATTGAATGTCTCATGATCGTATCAAGATCTGCTCAGTCTTTTATTTAGAAAAGATTGAGCCGAATTTAATTGCAATCAATTAGAAGAATAAAGAAGAATTACCGTATTTCTTAACTTATTTTTTTCTCTGCTTCTTATCTTTTTTTTCTCTGCTTCTTTATCTACGGTATCCATCACTTCGAAACCATCAAATTTGCACCTTCCATATTTCAAAAGTTGCATTCGTTGAGCAAGTATTTAGGAAACAACACCGCTCAATCAATAAAGCCATGAGGTAGCAACTTCCAAGTCCCCGAGGATAACAGATAACGATACAGTTGTTTGGTTGGGCTTGCTCCCGTATCAGGTATCGTGTAATCCATTTACAACCCATTCACTCCCGATCCCACCCCTTGATATCGCCGCCGCCTCTCAAGGCGTCATCGAGGGCATCTCCTTCCACGCGCCTCCGCACTTCTCTATCCCCGTGTTGCCGCACAAACAAATTCTATTTCCCATTACAGTATCCAACCAAAGAAAAGCTGCAGTGACCTTGCTAGTGATCCCACCGATCAAACCCCCCATGAGTTGATTCCATTTCCCATTACGTTACCTCAGGATGAATCAAATGTTATCTAAGTTATACACCAACCTGACATACAGCATAGGAGAGGCGTGTATCTCAAACAATATAGACCCTATTAAAAAGGGCCTCTCCATCACAGCCAATCATGCTCTATATTGCGGTACCTATCTTAAAATTATTTAATCTTATAAGGTATTCTTTTGTGTTTATTTACTAGTACATGCTTTGTTATAATTAGTCTACGTTAGCGACCTAGGCTACATAGAAATTCAAATTACTTCGATGATAGCACAATAAAATGGTTAACAAGCTATAGTTTTTCGTGCATAAATATCTTTATTTGAAAATTTATGGTTTTAAGGTGCATTGTCCCACTAGGTTAAATTTCACCCCCAAAAACTTTTACAAAAAAAAGATCACCGAAATGCTGGGCAACAAGCTTACCAAAAGGCTGCTTTGTCTGGTGATTGTTTTTTAAAAAATAGAATTTTACTGTTTGACATAATTTTATTGTTGCATAGTTTTTTAGTTGGTGACTAATTTGTAAATGAAAATTTTATAAGTAGAAATATTGTTGGCCCGCTTTCTTGTGCTCTTCGGCCCAGTTTGCATCTATTTTGCTCACTGCGTTGGCCCACTAGCTTTGAGCCTATCCGATGCAGCCCGACGCCCTAACACTTCACCTGGTATGGGCTGGTTTAATATTGGGTCATACAACTCGTTTGGATAATTGACCAAAAAATACAAATACAAAATCATTGCAAATCTATAGTCACGTGTCTAAAATAATTCCACACCGTTTCACTAATTTGTGGTCAATGTTCAATTTTTGCAATGTCTAGTGCATATATAAGTATATATATAATATATATATATATATATATAGAGAGAGAGAGAGAGAGATAAAATTTACAAAATAAAATTGAACATTTAAAAAGTACAGACCAATTGAAAATATTATGAAACAATTTAAAATAAACAAAATAGATTATCATATATTTAACAGAGTCTAAAAAGTAAATCATGGAGGATTGAAAAATATACAAGAACATTGCATTGCATTAGAGGGGAAAATTTACTGTTGGATAAGAAAATAGCAATATACATGTAAAAAACTGCTATAGGACAATCAATTTTCTAAAATGGCGTTGCGAAACAATTTAAATCAACAACAAAAATAATCCAAACAACTTATCACATCCATGAAAGAAAAAAAATGAAAACTATACTACAAATACACAATACAAGGGGAAAAATAGAACTTTAGAAGATATTCATAGTCTCATAAATCAGTCCAGTCATAATAAAACAAAAAAGGAGAAGGAAATCGCCTTAACTCAACAAAGAAACAGCCCAGAAAGCGAAAAGGCCATGGAAAAAGAGAACAAATCCACCCATCAAACTGTTTTGAAGTTCACGCATCGGCATGGGCCACTATGAGAAAATTGGCAATTTGCTCTTCTCAACAAGGGGCTTCGCAGTATAGCCCACAGCCCGGGCGACAGATATTTCTGAGGCACGCATGACTTTACAATGTGTGTACTTCAACATCAATTGACAAAATCATCCGCTTCACCAGAGCTTATAGCCTTTGTGAAATGTTTAATTTGCTTGAAACCAAGCAGCCAAACTCAGATACGTGAAGCAGATGAATGGTCGACAACTGTGCAAGTTTAGAAAGTTCTGCAGGCTGAAGAGTTGGTAACGTCGAAACAGGACAGTTTCTGCTGTTAAAGATTAGTCCACTGTCTAGACTGAAACCGGATGTCGTGTGCACAAATTTCTCCATAGAGTGCCCTATCCTAAACTATACTGACTACAGTATCCTGCTACATCGTTCTCAGCTGAGCAACCATAGCTCAGCGAAGTCAGAGGACAACTCCAAATTTACTAGTTCAAACATGCCATTGCTACTTATCCTTTGGCCTTCACGTCCCAACAACCAAACTGAGAAACAATATGGCCATGGCAATGGGGCTCTTCACCTTGCTACCGCCACTCGTTGCCGTCCTGATGATCCCCACTGTGAGCGCCGGTGATGAGGCGGCGCTACTAACTTTCAAAGCACAAGTAGTCATCGATGGCAGTTTTGGTACGCTGACTTCATGGAACAGCAGCACCAGCTTCTGCAGCTGGGAGGGCGTGACATGCAGCCATCGGAGGCCAACACAGGTGTCGGCGTTGAACTTGCAAGGCTGCGGTCTCAAAGGAGCACTCCCCCCGACAATAGGTAATCTGACTTCCCTGCAGACGCTCAACCTGAGCGCCAATCAGCTATATGGTGAGATCCCAGCAAGCCTGGGCCATCTCCGGCGCCTGAAGACACTCGACCTGAGCAACAACTTATTCTCCGGGGAGTTCCCTGCCAATCTCACCTCCTGCATCAGCATGACCATCATGGTGCTAGACGGCAACAAGCTTGGTGGTCACATTCCGGCCGAGCTCGGAGCAATGACTTCCCTGGAAGCAATATCGCTGAGCAGCAACAGCTTTGCAGGACCCATCCCGGTATCACTGGCCAATCTATCTCATCTGCAGTATCTCAGTCTCTCCAGCAACCAGCTCGATGGATCAATACCACCAGGACTCGGCAGCATTCAGAGCATGTGGAAACTCCATCTCTACAACAATAACCTCTCCGGTTTGCTTCCACTCTCTCTATACAACTTGTCTTCACTGATCAGCTTTCAGGTAGGGGGCAACATGTTGCATGGAAGCATTCCTACTGATATCGGCAACAGATTCCCCAGCATGCAGATTCTTAGCTTGTCAAGTAACCAATTCACCGGGATAATCCCTTCTTCAGTATCTAATCTCTCCCATCTCACCACACTCAACCTCGCGCAAAATAGATTGAGTGGGCATGTGCCTGCCACTTTGGGGAGGGTGCGAGCTCTGCAAAATTTGCTCTTGACAGAAAACAAGCTTGAAGCAAATGATAAGGAGGGATGGGAATTCATCAATTCTCTATCAAACTGCAGCCAACTGCGGTGGTTGATACTCAGTGACAACTCTTTTGGAGGACACCTACCAGGTTCAGTTGTGAACCTCTCAGTGACCCTTCGAAAGCTATACTTGGATGACAATAGGATCTCTGGGAGTATCCCTGCAGACATCAGAAATCTTGTTGGTCTCAACATACTGCTGACTGTGAACAATTCTATGTCAGGAGTGATTCAGGACAGCATTGGGAAACTAGAAAACTTGGTAGACCTTGGCCTGTATGGTAATGCCTTGTCAGGTCTCATACCACCATCTATAGGAAATCTCACAAAATTAACCAGGTTCCTTGCATTTTACAACAATCTGGAAGGACCAATACCAGAAAGTCTTGGGAAGCTGAAGAATCTATTTATTCTTGATCTCTCGACAAATTACTACCTTAATGGTTCTATACCCAAGGCAATTTTGAAGCTTCCTTCACTTTCATGGTACTTAGATTTATCATATAATTCTCTTTCAGGACCCCTTCCATCAGAAGTTGGTACCATGACTAACCTCAACGAGTTAATCTTGTCAGGAAACAAGTTGTCTGGCCAAATACCTAGTAGCATTGGAAACTGCATAGTTTTAGTCAAACTGTTACTGGATAAGACCTCGTTTGAGGGTAGCATACCTCAATCTCTGAGCAACTTGAAAGGACTCGGTGTATTGAATCTGACCATGAACAATTTGTCTGGTATGATCCCTGATGCCATTGGTAGTATTAGAGCTCTACAACAGTTGCACCTAGCACACAACAATTTGTCAGGGTCAATCCCATAAGATTTGCAGAATTTGACATCGTTGTCTATATTGGATTTATCTTTCAATAATTTGCAGGGTGAGGTGCCAGACAAAGGTGCTTTCAGAAACCTAACTTACATATCAGTTGCTGGGAATAATCAGTTGTGCAGAAAAACACATCAACTTCACTTGGCAACTTGCTCTACAAGCCCATTAGGAAAGGACAAAAAGAAGAAATCAAAGTCTCTTGTAATTTCTTTGCTAACATCTATAGTAGTCTTATCATCAGTTTCAGTTATTCTTCTTGTTTGGATGCTCTGGAAGAAGCTCAAACAAAGGCATAAGAGAAGTGTAGAATCTCCAATTGCTGAACAATATGAAAGAATTTCATACCTTGCATTATCAAGAGGAACCAATGGGTTTTCAGAAGATAACTTGCTCGGAAGTGGTAGATATGGTGCTGTTTATAAATGCATTTTCGATAATGAGGACAAAACCTTGGCTGTCAAGGTCTTTAACCTTTGTCAATCTGGATCTTCCAAGAGTTTTGAGGCAGAATGTGAGGCCATGAGAAGGATACGACACCGTCGTCTTATAAAGATCATTACTTGTTGCTCGAGTACAGACCCCCAAGGTCATGAGTTCAAGGCATTAGTTTTCGAATTTATGCCCAATGGTAGCTTAGATCTTTGGCTTCATCGAAAATCTCAGCTCACTTCAAGTAGGACACTTAGCCTTTCCCAGAGGTTGGATATAGCTGTTGATATAGTCACTGCAGTGGAGTATCTTCACAATAACTGTCAACCGCAGGTAATCCATTGTGACCTTAAGCCAAGCAACATTCTTCTTGCTGAAGATATGAGTGCCCGAGTAGGAGACTTTGACATATCAAAATTTCTCCCAGAAAATACAAGGATACAAAATTCATATAACTCAATCGGAATAAGAGGTTCCATTGGCTATGTTGCTCCAGGTGACAAAAATTCTTAATATTGTTATCTTGTGCGTTTCAAAAAAATCTGACATGCTAATGGTTTTTTTTTTCTGACGTAACAGTAGAGTATGGTGAAGGCTCTGCAATCTCAACATCTGGTGATATTTATAGTCTTGGCATATTGCTGCTTGAGATGTTTACCGGCAGGAGCCCAACAGACAACATGTTCAGAGATTCACTGGATCTGTATAAGTTCACCGAGGAGGCTCTACCAGACAGAGCCTTGGAGATAGCAGACTCAACAATCTGGCTGCACAAAGAACCGACGAATAGCACTACGGGAAGTAGAATCCAGGAATGCTTGATTTCTATCTTCAGGATTGGCCTATCCTGCTCGAAGCAACAGCCTCGAGAGCGAGCATCAATAACAGATGTTGTGGTGGAGATGCATGCGGTCCGAGATGCATACCTGATGTTTGCCAACTAGCCTCCAAGGGAATATGAGATAGAAAGAGCATCCGCTAATCAGACATCCGGAGAGACTCCCATCAAACAAGCTGGTAGAAATAACTCTAGAACGAAAAAAAAAATAGTCAAATATGTTGTTTCAGTTAAAAGCTGTTCCAGAGCTAGTACTACTTTCTGTGTTGTAATTGTGAGAGCAACTCCTACAGCTTCGGCAAAATCGACTCTCTAAACCGCCTCTCTAAAGCTATCTAGATTCTCAAAATACGTACCCTCCACAGCAGATTTGCTATAAATCAGGCTCTCCATATCTTAGTCTAAATGGAGAAATTTCCATAGTTGACATGAATCCGCACGCCTCATGACTTTTAACACTCAATTCGCGCGTCATTCAATATTTAAAACTAAATCTGATAATTCTTTTGATTGGTTTTTCTTCTTTCATCTCTTTTCCTTTTCTGGGTTTCTGAAGTGACTAAACTGCCCTGGCCTAATCTCAAATCATTCACGGATCACCTTCGACTCCGGCCGCCGCGGCAACGGCCGATGCCGCCGCCTCGAGCCCCGCCCTCACGTACCCGGCAGAAGCCGCCTCGAGCCCCTCCCCGACGCTGCATCCCTCCCGCCCGACGCTGGCCTTCCCCGCTATGCCCGCCGACGCCGCATCCCACACGCCCGATGCTGCATCTCGGCTTCGACCGATGCCGCATCTCGCCGCCGCTCGACTGCTCTGGCGATTGCACGCAAGCGGCACGAGTGCTCCGGCGATTGCACGCAAGCCGCACGACTGCTCCGGCGACTACTCGCGTGCTGCGGACGTTGCGCCTACTCTACTACTCCTTTTCTCTATTGGCCTGCTCCGCCGCGGATCGTCTGGCGGGGACGGGAGGCGGCGGCGTCTGGAGCGGAAGGTGAATCGATGGATCGATTTGGTTTCAATAGATCGGGGCATGGGCAGTTTAAGTCGCTTTCAGGTGACTTGTTGAATGAAAAGAGAAAAAGAGATGAAAGAAAATCGAAGAGGAGAAAAGTCAAAAGTTACGAGCGTGGATTCGATCTCAAATAGGCGGCGGCGGGAGGCGGCGGCGTCTGGAGCGGAAGGTGAATCGATGGATCGATTTGGTTTCAATAGATCGGGGCATGGGCAGTTTAAGTCGCTTTCAGGTGACTTGTTGAATGAAAAGAGAAAAAGAGATGAAAGAAAATCGAAGAGGAGAAAAGTCAAAAGTTACGAGCGTGGATTCGATCTCAAATATCAAAATTTCTCATCTATACGTTGTTTCCGTTAAAAGTAATAATGTACAGCAGATTTCGCCTCAAATGATCAGTATGAAGGTGTGTCGGAACGAAAAATGCGTCCACACAGGAAAAGGCAGAAGAATCTCCTCGATGGAGGTAGAGATCCGCTTGGCTTTAACGTAGGGATAACCGATTCTGCGTATTTTTTTCGAGACGTGTCAATCAATTTGACCCTGTAATTGATAAGGAGAGAAAGTTTATCAGTAATTTAAGGTGGAACATTCTGGTATGTGCCCAGACAGTTTCAAGTATGCCGCTTCGGTAGCAGTCAGACGGAAAAATCAACTAAATAGCCGATATGCACAGAAATCGATGGTTATGGATCGTAAAGCTCATGGATTGTAATTAATTTTATATTGATAGATACAATGCCCGCAGACGTAAATGAGATCATCAGCTAGGTGGATGTTACCAGTATGGATCATTGAGCCGATAAATCTAATCAGAAAAATATATAGCATGCAAACAAATCGACTGTCTAATACAAATGGACATATAAATGCTATGAATCTCATCTGTTACCATCAACAGTGAGTTCGACCGGATCGATAGCAGCTATAATGATAATAACAAACTAAAACCGAAGAATCCAAAAAACCATCTATACTTCGACAGGCTTTCTGAAAGATATGCTATGCTTGAAGGCTCAGATAAATTGACTGAAATAGCCGATTCAGGTGAAAAGGGACCATAGCGTATGAACAATCGACTATTTCATATGAATAAACCTATAGATTACTCAGACTCAACCTGCTATCTTCAACAATGGGATTCGACCGAATCAATGCAGCTAGCCCTGGACGTTCAGTTCTACCGAATCGAACCGATCGGTTCTTCGATTTTGAAGAAGTTCGGTTCTCAGAAAACCAGTACCGATTGGTTCTTCAAAAAACATGGAACCGACCAAGTTCAGTATCGGTTCTTTCGGTTTGGTTCCGAGTAGAACCAAAAAGTACCCAAAATCTATGTAACAGCATGTTCAATAGAGTGCTAACTTCTAAAGCAACGCATCAACATTCAGTAAGAGTGCAAGACACTGTGACAACACACTACTACACTAGCACCGCACAACATAAATACTGAAATACATCCAGGTGACCAGGCAATCGCCAATCAGCAAGGCAATCAGCAAAGTAGCAAATTTCGGTTAGTTCGGTTAATCGAGGGGGGAACCGATTTTACCGAACAAATTTCGGTTCCTCGGAAATAAGAACCAAGACTTCGATTCTCGGTAAATTCGGTTCGATTCTCGGGTTTTTCGGTTCGGTTCTCAGTAAAATTTGTCCACGGCTAGATGCAGACGTGAAAAAGACAACGAATCAAACCTTTAAAGTACATAGATCTATTCACGCTTAACAGAATCATGGACGCACACTATAGGCATTAACGCACAGGCGATCGGCTATTTAGCCGATCCAGGCATAGCAAACAGCTAAGGTCACGTCTAATCAAGAACAGATCTACTAACTAGCATCCTCCAATCTACTGTGCCATCAGTGGAGATCGACCGGATCGTTACAACCATAATAGTGAACTATAAACTAAATTTAACTAGCCAGCAAACCTCTTCAAGATTATTCATGCCTTAACCGCATACTATGCATGGTCAAGATTAAAGTAGAACAGTCGATAAAATATAACCCGTCACTCAGAGTAAGAAACATCGTGTTGTAATAAAGCGAACGACTGACTGAAAGGATATAAGGCCGATCTAACTCAATCTTGACCAGACGGATTGATGTTGCTGCAAACTAATGACAATGAAGACATCAGCAAGATCGGTAACTTAATAAATCTACCCGAAAGACACCACCCTTAGATAGAGCCGATAACTTGACCTTAATCTAGTTCGAGCAGTGGAGGTCGACTGGATCGATGCAATCGTACTTGAACTAGATAAGAGTTGATAACTAGCTTATACTAAGGTTCGTAGTGGAGGTCGACCGGATCAATGCGGCTGTACAAACCAAAGTATAAACCATGATAGTACTTATAGACAAACCAGAGGTCGGTCGAATCGATGCAGCCCTGCTTGCTAAAGAACTCGTCGAGATCTACTCTACTCATACTCCTAAGGGTTGGCTGGACCCGAAAAAATAAATAACTTGTGTTTGATTGATTAGATGACCTTTTACAATAGCCAAGGTCCAACATTTATACCCGGAGTCTAAACATGAATCCTACTCGAGTACGACTCATTACAATATTTAGTATAAAAGAAAATATTTCTATCTTAAGATAACTTGTACCTTAATCTTTCCCATTTTTATAGAGTCAAATATGTATTTCCTGACGCCAACTGTAGCTCATTATTGTTATTTGCTGATGTCATTCAAAGAGAGCTGATTCCAGTGTTGTATCTGAATCAGCTGATATCGATCCTTATACAATCGATTCCTTGATCGGCACAATTCTGGAAGCTTCGAGTTCCCACATTCTTCTTCCCAAATTTTTGTGTAAACACATGCCCCACAATTTTGGGATAAAAATAATTTTATTCCAAAATTCCTATTTATCCGTTTATCACGCCGCAACCATTTCGTTTCAAGATATACGCGTGACTTCTGACTTCCCGAGCCTTATATAATATCCCAATAGTATCATTTTCAACTTACTCAGCCCGTTTGCTTTCCCCTTCCTTCTCGAGCAAATCTTAACAGCTGACGCCACCATCGCTAAAGCCTCAACCCTAGCAAATTTTCTGCCCCATCAAGCTTTCATTTGAGCGATCTTCCTCAGATTCAAATCCATTTCGGCTATAATGGCGACCAGTGACCATGTCTCTGAGGTATGCTTTCGAGCCCCCATCTTCTAAGTACCCGTCGCTACCCGGTATTTTCTTTCTTCTCAAATTTATTTCATCTGATTTCTAGAAATTGAGGAACAAAATCTTAATTCCATCGGCTGTTGCTCCCAATGTTTATTTTCTTGGGCCTATAGGTGATCCTGATCCATCTGATTTTATCTATCAAGAAACCAACCAAATCCCCTTTAAACAATCTACAGTAGATTCGTCCTCCTGGAGAACCAAAACTCACTTCAGAAACTAGCCCAAATTGTGTAAGGGATGGAGAAATTGGTTTCGTAGGGCGTCCGAGAAAAAGAGTGGAGATTGGGTGCTTTATGATCTAAATCAATGCTTGACACTTTCATTGTCTGGAATGGAGAGGAATGATCCACTTCTGATCTCTGCATCTTATTTCTGGTCCAACACCCTAAATGCCTTCGTTTTTTTGTCATGGCCCAATGACCATCACTTTGGCCGATATTTATATGCTGACCGGCCTCAGAATAATAAGATCGATGCAGCCTTATGACTTCTTAAGTGCTGGATCCAAAAAATTAGCTAAGATATCAGACTGCACAGGATGGACAAGTTACATTCTGAACTACATCGGAGACGAATCATCTGTTAGCGAAAAGGAATATGTGGCTTTTCTGAACATGTGGTTAGAAAGATTCATCTTCTGTGAGTCATCTTGTGGTCCGACTTACAATCACAAACTCATGGCAGAACATCTGGCAGTAGGCAAGAATATCCCTCTTGGAAAGTATCTGCTAGGAGCTGCTTATCATCTGATGCACCAGGTAGCTGCCCAATTACTGAAGAACGAACCAATGCATACTATCAATGGCCCTTGGTGGTTGATACAACTGTGGCTCAACTTGTATATGCACAAGATTGCAAGGCCTAATCTTAGAAACCTGAGTTTCCCTTCCTTC